TCCATCCACGATCGTGATTCACAAGCACGGGAATGCACTTTGCTTTTCGTGAATGCAGACTAGACCTCTGCGATAGCGTTTCACAACCTTGTGGTCAATTATCAAATGCTCAAAAGGTCCTAGAAGTGGTCCAAAACCACCCCAAAACTACCCGAGGTCCGAGGGGCCTCGTACAATCAACCTAACAAGTTTATATGCTCTATTAAAACTTGTAAAAATGCTCAAAACACCACTAATAACATCAAAACCAAGAATCAACAATCAAAACCCTTCTCTTGAGTTTCAAACATATAAACTTTGCTGAACACGTCCGAATCGCACTTAGGGATCACAACCAAACTTTGCACACAAGTTCCAATCAACCAAATGAACCTATCCAAAGTCCAGAATACCAACTGAGCCCGACGACACCAAAAGTCAACTCCCAGTAAAACTTATGAATTCTCCGGTCCTTCAAATAGCCTACTATAGACAAATGGAGACAAAACCTTCTAGGAATATCCAATTCAAATCTGAACATATGCCCAAGTTCCAAACAACTATACAAACCTGTTGAAATCATCAAATCACGATTTCGAGGTCGTTTACTCAAAAGTTAAACCTTGGTTAACTCTTCCAACTTAAAGCTTCAAATTGAGAATCATTTTTCCATAACGATCCTAAATCTCTCGAACATCAAAACCAACCATACCCACAAGTCATAATGCCACCATATGAATCTACTCAATGTCTCAAACCGCCGAACAAAATTGCTAAAACTCAAAACGATCGGTCGAGTTGTTACACTCGGTATGCTGGTGCTTCGCGTTCGCGGGAGGAACTTCACTTTCGCGAAGGGTTATTTTGAGGCTGTGACTATTTGTGCTTCGCGAAGGCAAGGCAGTCACCGTTTTCGCAAAGGGATTGCTAGGCAAAACACTTAAGTGTTATATTTTGGGATTTTAGCCAATTCTTTCACATTTTGAACCCTAGACTTGGAGAGGGGCAAATTTTGAAGGAGATTTTCATACAAGAATTTAGGGTGAGCTATTTCTACTCATTTTTGGTATTATTTCAATAATCTACAAGGATTACTAACACCTAAAATATGGAAATTTGAAGAAAATTTGGGGGATTTTCCTACAACTTAAGAGAGTGAAAATTGAAGTTTTGGGAGTCGATTTGAAATTAGTTTTAGAATATAATCACATATTTGGACTCGTGGAGCTATGGGTAGTTGGAACATTCTCCTTGATTCGGGTTTTGATCATATGGGTGCAGGTTGAATTTTGGTGATTTGATTGAAGCTTTATTGTTTGGAATTGATTCTTATAGCTTTGTTTGACGTTATTGAGTTGTATTTGACTAGATTTAACTCTTTTGGAGGTTGATTTGAAAGGTAAAGCTATTTTGGAAGGTCAAAGACTACCGAGTGGAGCTAAGTCTCTTGTCTATCATTAGTAAGAGGCAATTCTCCCCATAGGTGATCTATTTGATACTTGTTGCTCGATTTAGGAGCCACGTATATGCGAGGTGACGAGTGTATATGCGTAGCTAGGTTGGACATATCCGGTAAATGTTTGGATTAAGATTATGCCTTGTTTTGACTATGTGAAACTCTCATTTAACGTTTTACTGATTCTATGACTACGTAATGACTTGTCATTGTGGCTTAGAAGCATGCATAAGGTTATGACTTGTGATTTGGGCATAAATAATTGTTTTGCCACCTTGAGCTGCTTTATCGAGCCGTAGTAATATACTTGTCTTATTACATCATGACTTGATAGTTAAATGGTTTATTTCGTTCGTGTTAAATATTATGATAAAACTTTTGAACGATGAAATTACTTATTGATTTGTTGAGATGAATCGAATTATATGTTTAGTCGTAGACATCTTTTTAGCCTTATGTGCTTTATCCGTATTTTTGTTACTAATTCAGTACTTTTAATTATGTTGTCTCATACATATATCCATGAGTTTGAGAGTTGAATATTGTGAAAATATGAGAATTTTGGCACCACAGATATTACAAGCGGATATTGGCTATTGATGATGTTGTATGGATCAGGTGGCATGCCGCCACGGCTATCATGTGTGGATCGGGTGGCACGCCACCACAGGTATTAAGTATGGACCGGGTGGGAGGTCGCCACGGGAATATTTGTGGATTGGATTGCATGCCACTATGTTATTACTATTATTATTTATGGATCGCATTGCATGCTGCAACGATGTTTGGATTTGTTACCATCCTTACGGAGTCCGGTGATTACCCATGTTACTTTTGCCCTGAAAGCGTATGTTACTCATATTAGTATTGATTTGGACACTATGTCTGTATTGGGTGTATGGAGTTGAGCGGTGAGAGTGCATATGTGATTGTGGGCGTGCATTGGTAGATTAGACTCATGTAGTGGCCTTACTTTACCTGATTGTTATTTGACTCATATCATGATCGTAAAAGATTTGAAGTATCTGATGTTGTGCGCTATCTTTTGTTTAGAAAGCATGTTTAAATACCAACTTTATTATGTTTCTACTGGTAAACTTGATTGATAATATCATACTTTATTTCGCATGTTGATTACACCTCTTATGATAATTGAGTTGATAGTAATTATTGAGGAAAGTTGAGGATTTTGGCACTCGGGGTACTTGAGCGAATATTGGTATTGATTATTTGGTTAATGATCATTATTATAAAATGATCTACTCATGGATATGGATTCGTTCCTCCGAAGTTAGGTGACTACCCTTGTTATCTTGGGCCTTGTGAGTGTAGGCGCCCGTAATTATTTTGGTGATTGTTGGACACGTGGCATGTATCAGGCACATGGATTTGTGCTGTGAGTTGTTGAGAAATGGATCATGAGCATACATATGTATGTTTATTTAGACGCATGCAATGAATTGATATAAGTATTGTTGACGTGCATCATGTCTTATTCGAGATTAGGATGCTGATATCTTATGTGATCTCTGTTATTTGTAAAAGCATGCCTAAATTCTGTATGAACTGTGTTTTGAGCTTTTATACTTGTTTGATGATATCATGCCTAGTTTCATGTTGATTTATTTTTTAATCTGATTATTTGACTGTTGGTGTCGACCCCTCGCCACTACTTCTTTGAGGCTAAGACTTAATACTTACTAGGTGCCGTGTTTGTATTCATACTATACTTCTACACATTTCATGCATGTTCTGAGGTTGGTGTGAGTGGAATTCATCCGACACAATAGGTGGGCTTGGAGACCTCGTAGTCCCCCTCCCTACTTATCTCTTATGTCTATCTATCTTATTCAGACAGACAATGTATTAGATTATTCTACATACTCTTGTTAGATGTTTGGGATGATTGTGACAGCGGTTTATCAGTCGTGGTCGTGTTTAGACCCTGCCTTAGATAGTTCATCTATGTTATCCGTTTGAGATTATTGTATTTCTTATCGTATTGAGTATTTTGTTAAGATTTAGTTAATCTGCTTTAGAATTATGATTTTTATTGTATTGGCTTGCCTAGCGAGTGGGTTAGGCGCCATCACGACCTTTGTTGGTGTTTCGGGTCATGACAGGGGAGTTGTCATTCCTTCTTCGGAACTTATGGAGTCCCCTTCCTATCTATTTTACTGTTGTTTGATTTAGACAGTATTATTATGTTTGAGACGCGGTTGTATTTTATTTAGTTGCTCATGACTTGTAGTACCGGGTTTTGGGAGTTGTTTGTAGTATTTTTCCCTTGGGTTATTATTGTGAGACTTATTATACTATATTTATGTTATGACAACTTATTATATCTTTCTATGTTTAATTTGGGTTGATTATGATTGTTGGCTTACCTAGCCAATTGAGGTTAGGAGCCATCATGACCATTGATGGGAGTTTGGGTCATGATACTGCTCCCTCTGATCTACTACAGCAGCTCAAGGATGAGAACATTCAACTATTCAGATCATCGATCAAAAGGAGAAGAAAGGTTCAAGATAAGGTTAGTGAATCGCAGAATAATAGCATTTGTAATTCCTTACTTTCTAGGAGTATCACCTGCATCCAAATCTTGGATCATAGTAACAAATATGAAACAGTTTAATTTTATGGTAACTTACTTTTAAGTTATATATGCACTAAATTTAGGAGGTTTCATTAAAAATAGCTTGTTACTTTCTATTACTTCTCTGTGCTAGTGGCAAAAGGACAATACTGCACCAAACATCAAGTATGCCCGCAAATGGCAAAAATTGGGATGAGACCACCCTCCTGTAGTGCTACAACATGGTCACGTAAGGACAGTAACGTAGATCATGTTACAGATTTGAACGACAACAATTGAGCAATTTTTTTAGTTGGTTTAATATGGATTCTAGGCTTCTTTTATTGATCATGTTTATTTTTTAGATTTGTTAAGATACTGGTTAATGTTTTTCATGAATTAGATCGTGGGACTAGTATATTTTCAAGTATTGCAAGAGAAGCAATATATATAGATCAATCGAACACTTAGAATCTTAGGTCAATATAAGTCATGCCTTTGCTTAGTACATATCAGAAACTTCCTCATAACAGATTCGTTGAATTTAAGAGAATCAAAATTACACAGAAACTAAATAAACAGAACTAACTAGTTGTTGAAACCATTGCATTTTAAAAATTTTGTCGTGTTGTTAAAATCAAACTCAAACTGCGTACGTGTTAATGAATGCCCTAACGCTTCCATCCAGTTGCATCTACAGAATTTAGTTTCTTTTACCCTAATTAATTTTTGTTGTTTCACGTAAAACCAACAACCAACATTAATGTCTTAAATGAAAGTCTCAGGATGAACACAATTTTAATTACTTGCAATCCTAGTTACTCGATCCTTTACGCTCATTCTATAACTTGGAATGGGTAGAGTGCCCTTACACACATCAGTGCTAACCACCTGAGGTCTAACCACACTTGCTGCTGCTGTGATAATAAGAACACCAGGCGCTGACAGTATTGAGATTGTTACTGAGCATTCACTGGAAACCACAGATCTTATTAATTTTGCCGCTCAAACATTAAAAAAGAAATGAATTATTTTCTGCAGTTTCTTCAAGTGATTAACACCTGAACTATAACAATTCAAGGGCAAGGCTCTATGTTTCTTGGGTTGTTATTGGCTAACAAAATTCAATAATTAGACAACGATTGCTGTGGTATCAATTACAAAATTAAAGCAGATACTACAAGAATGAATATCAACGTTTAACAATGCACAGACAAATCTCATGACGTCAAACTATTGCCTCTGGTTATGATCAAGAAAGGGGCATTAAATGAAACTTCTACACCTTTTCCACCAATCCCGGCAACAAAACATTGGAATCCGAATGTCTCTAACTCAACCATCAGCTGATCAACAACCGTTCCTGATAGCACTAGAAATTCTTGTCAAGGAAACAAGAGAAATGTGCAAAACTTAGCAGGAATTTTTTTTTTGTTTATGCGAAATATTCTATATAATGGGAAATATTAGCAAATTTATCACATGCATATTAAAGGCTGGTACAACAGAAAAGTGAGGAATACAACAGCATGAACAACCGCACAAATCCATTTACTAGAGTAGTTATATAATTTCAATCACCTAATCAAATGCTTTTAAGTGCATTAAATACTAAGTTGCTCGAACTCTCCAAAAATATTGCCGCACCCGTGTTGGATCCTCCTAAAATATACTACTTGAAGGATCTGACACTCACCCGACGGCATCTTCCGAGAGTCCCAACAACATAGATTAGATATCCTTGTTTCAGGAAAATAAAAGGAAAAAACTTGACAAACAGTAAGACTAGCGTAGAAAGAGTGGGGGTTGAGGGCTATCTCACTTAATGAGCTTCCTGGCTTCCACAGTTGAGGAGGAGGATTCAAATCCCATCAGTTGCATAGTATCCCTTCCCCTTTTCCCCTTCCCTTCCTCCTCCCCTGATGTAATAAAAAATATTCAAAAATATAAGAGATAGAAACAGTGGGGGACGGAGAGAATACATAAACAGTAAAAGGTACATAATCTTGATGTTACTATAGTCAAGACAAGGAATTGCAATCCTGATTTCGAATTATTAAATGGGTTCAAACTTTTTCCTATCTGTAGAACTATGTTAGTCTTGTCAATTTGGCGCAACTATACTAGGTAAACAAAACTATCTAGCAGTATCATATTGAAATGGCCATAAGAAAAGTCAGTGCTTTGACAGGTATATAAAAATACGTTCCTAATAAACACTAGAAATATTTTACCCGATTTGTGTAGTGTTCAGTAACCTACTAAGCAGAATATTTCTATATGAACTGCATTACCCTCAATTATTATTTAGACATACAGACGAAAAAACTAAGCTATAAAGTAGACAGATCAGTTAATGCATCTCCACCACATCAGTCAATGCAGCCCCCTCTTATGAATCCAGTGAGAGCAGATGCATGAAGTAAAATATATGTAATAAAAAGCTATTCTTCAGGAGAAGCAAAATCTGATGTGAGAATATCAACACTGAACAGAGAAAGCATATCTAGAACTAAAAATATTTTAGTAATGATAGGGAAAAAATGTGAATAGAAGGGCATCTATCAGAAGAAAAAGAAAATAAAGGATACGTGTAGGTAGTAGTGTCAAAACACAGCCTCCACCACCAGCTCCAGTTAAGTTGGAAGATAGTTTGTACTTTAGAGTCGATCGAAGCACAGATTCTATAGAGGCATGGCTAACGCCCATGCACTGCAGCAATCCTTGGTTCATCTCCATCAACACTCCCAGCTTCTCTTCCTTCTCAGTTATGGCAAGATCATCGGAGACAGGTGACTGAATGATGGTAGCTAACTCGTTGCTGATGGAGTCAACTGCAGTAAATACAGAAGCCATAGCGGTTGGATGCCTCATTGTCCTCTCTGAGACGCCAACTACCAACGCCTTTGTATTTCTTCTGACCTTTGTGTTAGTGATCAACATTTTAATTGGCATGTTTGTTTTGAGGCATGTCAAATCGCCAGTTCTGAACTTGATCGTATTTCCTATCACATAAACTTTTTCAGGTGGTGCAGTTCCCAGATCCTGAAATATTCTTTAAAGAAGCATCTCAAGGTATTTAAGTATTTTATATTTTCTGAATTAAAAAATAAAGGCTACCAAGGCAACTAAGTAGAGCATAGTTATGCAATGATAACTTGATGATCTAGGATAAATAGAAGGAAACTGCCCATATTCCCCTCCTAAGAAAAAAGTAAAACAGACCACGGAAAAGGAAATTAGCAGAAAGAAAAGGTAAATGAAAGAAATATAATTTAGGAGCGAGCCTTCTCTACAGATCTTCTGTTGCCAAGAAGGCTTCAGGGTTTCCAATTAGCTTATGTGCTTTTAATTAGAAAATAATCTTTTGTACAACTCATCATATTAATGAATAGAAAACTTAGTTGCTAGGATAATCTAACCTAATTATTAATTTTGTTGATGATCAAAAGGCCTAATAATTCCTAGGCAACAGACTTTTCTTGTTAGTCTTGCCCCAAAAGAATAAAGAAATTTTGTATTTGAAAACGATATAATATTAACATCCCCATTTTACCCTTACTAACATGACTTACTTAGAATCCACTCAATATTTAAACTGATTTTATTAGGAAAGAAAAGTAGGAAGTGACATGTGGAACTCTTACCAACTTTTATTTAATTGTTATTAGTAAGGGTAAATTATACCTTGCATATATTTAGCTTATGTGGAAAGTCCTTTATTTCTTAAATTTCGTGTTCAATCAAGCACCATCACATAAGATGCGACGGAGGAAGTATATCTTATTTCATGCTGACTAGAAAAGAGAAATTTCTATTTAAACAAATTAAATTGGTAAACCAATACAGAAGAAGAAAGGATAGATAAGTTATTATTATCCTCTGCGCAAATTAAAAGCTACTTCCTCCACCCATATTTAAGTGACAGTGTTTGACCGGGCACATAGTTTAAGAAAGAAAGACTTTTAAATTTATGGTCTTAAACAAGTTTTAGACTTTTGTGTGGTTATAAATGATCTCATTAAGGATAAAATGGAAAGTTTAAATTTAAATTGGTTCTAAATAAGGAAGTACGGCATTCTTTTAGGGACAAACAAAAAAGAAAAGTATAATACATAAAGTTGAACTGAGGGAGTACCTATTTTTGGGTGAGCCAGAACATAAAAGGTAAAATAATCAATGAAACAACATTTACTTTTATGAGAGATTAGTGATATTCTTAAATTTGCAATTACTATTCCCGGATGCTAATAAGTTTTATATGATGACAAGAGCATCTTTGACATGCTTGCCCTTCCCCCAGAAAGAAGATATTTTGGCTCCACAGCCTCATCAATCATCATGTTTAAATAGGATGAAGCAAAGTGAAAAATCCAATGATTTGTATGGCAGTGTTTCATAGCAATGGTAAGTGGAAGCTAAAGGATATAAGGCTACCACCCTCTAAATAAAGATCTAGATATATAGTCGAAGAAAAGGTAGGGTGTTTCGTTTTGGAAATAAATAACTAGGAAAGCTTGATCTGTGATGTCGCATAGCTATTTAGGAATGAAGTAAGAACAAGATTCCATAGAGAAGCGCCATCAAAAACAGAAGCCAGCCAGTTCCAGCAGAGTCAAAGTCAAATAAGAATGACCTTGAGCCCGGTACTCCTTCTTCAAGCTATCACGTCCATCCAAGCCTATTGCTTCTGTAACAACAAAAAAAAATGTGCTTTATATGTTGAGCATGATATTTGAGTCCTAATCAGTAATTTAATGAAGTTCATTCCCGAACAGAGATATATATTTCAAAAAAACAAACGAGATAAGTTTCAGGTAACAATTTAAGAATTAGAGAAAACTCCTTCATTCAACAAAAGAGGCTTATAGGAAAAATATTCAGAAGTCTAATGCACTCTTTTGACACAATTTATCTTAAATTTATTTCTCCTCTCGTTGAACGAAAGAAGATTGCTAGGCTTTTACTATGGTTCTCTTACGCCTTGTATTATCACGTCGATATTACGCTCCGCAGTAATTTATTACGATGATGTTACGCTCTGCGGTAATTTATTACGACGATGTTACGCTCTGCAGTAATTTATTACGACAATGTTACGCTCCGCAGTAATTTATTACGATGATGTTACGCTCTGCGGTAATTTATTACGACGATGTTACGCTCTGCAGTAATTTATTACGACAATGTTACGCTCCGCAGTAATTTGTTACGACGATGTTACACCCTGTAGTATTGTACGTTGAATTTGTCGTAAGATAATTGACATCAGTTCAAGGACAAGATTATTTGGAGATTATAAGTATTATGCAATTTCAAATAAATGATGAGTAAATTCATGAAGGTGAAAGGGTAAACGAGTCAAAGAAAATGAGTTTAGTCGAAATTTGATAATTTGGGATAAAATATGGTCTGAGCTATAATACCCGTTATTTATGGACTAGTACCATACAAGGTACCACATGACTATGATAGTAAGATATATGAGGTATGTTAAAAGTGAGTAGTATTTTAAGTAAGTTGAGATAATTCTTAATTATGTGAATAATCGGATAATTATTGATTTTAGTGGGATATTAACAATTATTAAGGTGTTGGTGGTTAATTGGTTAAGAATGGGTAAACATCAACGTGGCAGCAAGCCACCCCAATATATATGACTCTTAAGCCATTATTGAGTAGGTGGGATATGTGGTTAAGCCACCACATAAAGTGGGGCCCACATCATAAGACATTTCAAAAACTTAAGAGTCATTCAAAGTAACGTGAGTCTTCAAATTCAACTCACTTATATGACTTCTCTAACTTGGTTACGTGAGAACTTTAGTATCTTCAACAAATTCAACATGATTTCATGGCAATTCAACAAGATCTCATGAGCATCTTCAAGAATTCAAATGTGAATTCTTAGTATCCTGGTAACGTGAGGCTTCTCTAAATTCACCAAAATGATTTGCTCATCTCTACTAATTCAAGAGATGAAGCTTCAGCAAACTCATTCATGAAAGACTAGATATTAGCAATGTAATTTTACTACAAAATTCATACGAGACTAAATAATGTTATAGCAACGGGATTTTGCGGTTCTAAGGGAGTACGGTGCAATCTTTCTCAAGAATATTATACGGATTTTTTCCTACTCCGATCTTGCCGATTACATGTTATCACAATTGACGTGTATTAGAGGGATTGTCAAGAGAACCGACTCAGGTATGTTAAGGCTATCCCTTCTTTCTTTCTGGCATGATTCATACGACACAAACGAAACGAACAAATGCACAACTTCCAATAAATGCACAACTTCCAGCAAATGCACAACTACAGTAAACACAAAAGCCATAATGGTTGGATGCCTCATGGTCCTCTCTGAAACGCCAACTACCAATGCCTTTGTATTTCTTCTGACCTGTGTGTTAGTGATCAACATTTTAATTGGCATGTTTGTTTTGAGGCATATCAAATCGCCAGTTCTGAACTTGATCATATTTCCTGTCACATAAACTTTTTCAGGTGGTGCAGTTTCCAGATCCTGAAATATTCATTGAAGAAGCATCTCAAGGGATTTAAGTATTTTCTGAATTAAAAAATAAAAGCTATCAAGGCAACTAAGTAGAGCATAGTTATGTAATGATAACTTGATGATCTAGGATAAATAGAAGGAAACTGCCCATATTCCCCTCCTAAGAAAAAAGTAAAAGAGACCACGAAAAAAGAAATTAGCAGAAAGAAAAGGTAAATGAAAGAAATATAATTTAGGAGCGAGCCTTCTCTACAGATCTTCTGTTGCCAAGAAGGCTTCAGGGTTTCCAATTAGCTTATGTGCTTTTAATTAGATAATAATCTTTTGTACAGCTCATAATATTAATGAATAGATGTCACGACCCGAAATTCCCTCCTTCGCACCGTGATGACGCTTAACATTTCACTTGCTAGGCAAGCCAATGTTAGAATAATATTAACAAATTTTTAAACTATTTTTAAATTATTAAAAATCAAGGAAATAAAAACGGAAGCCAAGTTTGAAACATAGTGAAATAATCCAAAAAAAAATAACGGTGTCTAAATACCATCCCAGAATTGGTGTCACAAGTGTACGAACTTCTAGAATAAATACAAATAAAGGTCTGAATAAAATAAAGCCGTCTGGAAATAAACATACACCTAAAATAAAATAGACGGGGACTTCAAAACTGCGGACGCCATGCAGTTATATCTCAAGTCTCTTCTGGTAGCTGAAATCCGAGCAATTCTATGGTACGTCGCTAGGACCAACTCCAAAATTTGCACAAGAAGTGCAGAGTGTAGTATCAGTACAATCGACCCATGTACTGATAAGTGCTGAGCCTAACCTCGATGAAGTAGTGACGAGGCTAAGACGGTTCACTTACATTAACATGTACGTAATATTAATAACAACAACAAATAATAGAAATAAATTAGGCAACTCATTTATAATAATTGAAGCCAACTCAGCAGTCATAATCCATTATTATTTTAACCATTTCTGTTGCAGCGTGCAATCCGCTCTCCTAATATTTTCTTTTTAATCAAGTTTGTCATATATTTATTTCAATCAAGTATATATATAGACTTTTATATAAATCTGTTGCAGCGTGCAATCCGATCCCCCAATATTGACTTTTCAATAAGTCTATTACCACGTGCAATCTGATCCCCCAATATTGACTTTTAATAAGTCTGTTGCGGCGTGCAACCCGGTCCTCCAATATGGACTTTTTAATAAGTCTGTTGCGGCGTGCAACCCGATCCTCCAATATTGACTTTTAATAAGTTTATTGTGGCGTGCAACCTGATCTTCCAATATATCCATTTCAATCAATTCTTATAGAAGAAATTTTTTCAATAAATGCAATAATTAATATAAAATTATAAGACAACAAGCATACAATAATTATGATTTAATTATGAAACAAACAATGACAAATAGTAAATTATTATAGAAATCAGGGAGAAAATAGGCAGTTTAATATTTAATATGCTAAATGTCAAATAATAATTAAAATACATACTTCAAATAGCATGTAAAAATTAATGCAGAAATTCAAGAATTAATATATGACAAAGAATAGGAGAGAAAATATTATTATAATAATTAATTTATGATTTAAAATAATTTATGAATTTTCAAGGAAGCAGGAAAACAATTAATTTGACGACGTATAGACACTCGTCACCTCGCCTATACGTCGTTCACATGCAATTCACATAACAAATAATTTAAGGGTTCTATTCCCTCAAGTCAAGGTTAACCACGACACTTACCTCGCTTTGCAAATTCCAATCAATTACTCGACCACAGCCTTTCCTTTTAAATTTGTCTCCAAAAGATTCAAATCTATTCATAAACAATTCAATATACTCAATACGAATCATAGGAATTAATTCCATATGAATTTGCTAATTTTCCGGATAAAAATCCAAAATTCATTAAAATATTTGACAGTGGGACCCACGTCTCAAATCCCAGAAAACCTCGCGAAATCTGAACACCCATTCCGATACGAGTTCAACCATACAAAAATTGTCCAATTCCGATATCAAATGGACCTTCAAATCTAAATTTCTCGTTTTTGGAAGATTTTAGAGAAATCTAATTTTTCTTCCATAAATTCACGGATTCATGATATAAACGAGTATGGAATCATGAAATAAAATCAATATAGGATAAGGAACACTTACCCCAATGTTTTTCGTAAAAATCGCCCAAATATTCGCCTTAACCGAGCTCAAAATGACCAAAATGAGTAAAAATATTGGACTCTTCGATATATACACTGCCCAGGCATTTCCGCACCTGCGGTGCCTGGGCTCGCACATGCGAACTCGCATCTGCGAGAAAAATCTCGCATCTGCGAAATGGGGCTGCTAGGCGAGGCCTCGCACCTGCGGAGGAAAAATGCGCACGTGTGCTGCCTTCGCTTCTGCGATAATTTGGCCCGCTTTTGCGGACGCGCGGGTGCGTGTAGGTTTTCGCACCTGCAGACTTTTGCCCAGCCATGCCCGGGCGCATCTGCAATCGAAGGCTCGCTTATGCAAGCTCGCACCTGCGAGAAAAATCCGCAGGTGCGATTACAGCAGAAGGAAAAAATACAGATTTTGCTTAAGTCCAGTTCTTGATCCGATTTCCATCTGTATCACTCTCGGGGTACTCGGGACCCCGTACGAATATACCAACAAGTCCAATAACATAATACGGACCTACTCGGGGTTTCGTATCACGCCAAACAACGCTGAAATTACAATTCACACCCCGATTCAAACTTTGAGTTTTAAACTTTCAATTTGCAAATCTCGTGCCAAAACATATTAAATAAATCCGGAATGACTTCAAATTTGGCACATAAGTCATAAATGACATGATGGAGTTGTTCAAATTTCTAGAATCGGATTCCGGCTCTGATATCAAAAAGTCAACCCCGTGGTGAAACTTGAAAATCTTTAGCCTTTAAATTGCTAGTTCCGTTAAATGGTCATAACTTGAGTTAGGGACCTCCAAATTAAAGTCTGGGCATACGCCTAAGTCCCAAATCACGATACGGAGGTACCAGAACTGTCAAAACACTCTGTTTGCTAAAAATATTGACCAAAGTTAACTCACTTGAGTTTTAAAGCTCTATTTCACATTTTAATTCATTTTTCACATGAGAACTTTCCGAAAAATTTTACGGATTGCGCACGCAAGTCGAGGAATAATAAATAGTATTTTACGAAGTCTTAGAATATAAAATTTTTTATTAAATTTAAAGATGATATTTTAGGTCATCACAATAGAAAACTTAGGTTCTAGGATAATCTAACCTAATTATTAATTTTGTTGATGATCAAAAGGCCTAATAATTCCTATGCAACAGACTTTTCTTATTAGTCCCGCCCCAAAAGAAGGACGAAATTTTGTATTTAAAAACGATTTAATATTAACATCCCCATTTTACCCTTACTAACATGACTTACTCATAATCCACTCAATATTTAAACTGATTTTATTAGGAAAGAAAAGTAGGAAGTTACATGTGGAACTCTTACCAACTTTCATTTAATTGTTCATAGTAAAGGGTAAATTATACCTTGCATATATTTAGCTTATGTGGAAAGTCCTTTATTTCTTAAATTTCGTGTTCAATGAAGCACCATCACATAAGATGCGACGGAGGAAGTATATCCTATTTCATGCTGACTAGAAAAGAGAAATTTCTATTTAAACAAATTGGTAAACCAATACAGAAGAAGAAAGGACAGCTAGGTTATTATTATCCTCCGCGCAAATTAAAAGCTACTTCCTCCACCCCTATTTAAGTGGCAGTGTTTGACTGGTCACAAAGTTTAAGAAAGAAAGACTTTTAAATTTATGGTCTTAAACAAGTTTTAGACTTTTGTGTGGGTATAAATGATCTCATTAAGAATAAAATAAAAAGTTTAAATTTAAATTATTTCTAAATATGGAATTACAGCATTCTTTTAGGGACAAACAAAAAAGGAAAGTATAATACATAAAGTTGAACTGAGGAAGTACTTATTTTGGGTGAGCCAGAACATAAAAGGTAAAATAATCAATGAAACAACATTTACTTCTATGAGAGATCAGTGATATTCTTAAATTTGCAATTACTTTTCCCGGATGCTAATAAGTTTTATATGATGACAAGAGCATCTTTGACATGCTTACCCTTTCCCCCAGAAAGAAGATATTCTGGCTCCACAGCCTCATCAATCATCATGTTTAAATAAAACAAAGTGAAAAATTCAATGATTTGTATGGTAGTGTTTCATAGCAGTGGTAAGAGGAAGCTAAAGGATACAGGGCTACCACCCTCTAAATAAAGATTTAGATACAGAGTCGAAGAAAAGGTAGGGTGTTTCGTTTTGGAAATAAACAACTCGGAAAGCGTGACGTCGCATAGCTCTTTAGGAAGGAAGCAAGAACAAGATTCTATAGAGAAGCGCCATAAAAAACTTCGTCAGCCAGTTCCAGCAGAGTCAAAGTCAAATAACAAGGGCCTTGAGCCCGGTACTCCTTCTTCAAGCTATCACGCCCATCCAAGCCTATTGCTTCTGTAACAACAAAAAGAAATATGCTTTATATGTTAAGCATGATATTTGAGTCCTAATCAGTAATTTAATGAAGTTCGTTCCTGAACAAAGATATATATTTTAAAAAAACAAACGAGATAAGTTCCAGGTAACAATTTAAGAATTAGAGAAAACTCCTTCATTCAACAAAATAGGCTTATAGGAAAACAATTCAGAAGACTAATGAACTCTTTTGAGACAATTTATCTTAAATTTATTTCTCCTCTCATTGAACGAAAGAAGATTGCTAGGCTTTTACTATGGTTCTGTTATGCCTCGCATTATTATGACGATGTTACGCACCGCAGTAATTTATTATGACGATGTTACGTTCCGCAGTAATTTTTTACGACGATGTTATACCCTGTAGTATTGTACATTGAATTTATCGTAAGATAATTGACATTAGTTCAAGGACAAGATTATTTGGAGATTATAAGTATTATGCAATTTCAAACAAATAATGAGTAAATTCGTGAAGGTGAAAGGGTAAACGAATCAAAGAAAATGAGGTTCGTCAAAATTCGACAATTTGGGATAAAATATGGTCAGAGCTATAATACTCATTTTTTATGAACTAGTACCATACAAGGCACCACATAATTATGATAGTAAGATGTATGAGGTATATTAAAAGTGAGTAATTCTTAATTATGTGAATAATCGGGTATGATCTATGGTTTAGAATGGGTGAACATCAATGTGGCAGCAAGCCACTCCAATATATATGACTCTTAAGCCATTATTGAGTAGGTGGCAAGACTAAAGATTAAGGATACGTGGTTAAGCCACCACATAAAGTGGGGCTCACATCATAAGACATCTCAAAAACCTAAGAGTCATTCAAAGTAACGTGAGTCTTCAAATTCAACTCACTTATAAGACTTCTCTAACTTGGTAACGTGAGAACTTTAGTATCTTCAACAAATTCAACATGATTTCATGGCAATTCAACATGATCTCATGAGCATCTTCAAGAATTCAAACGTGAAATCTTAGTATCCTGGTAACGTGAGGCTTCTCTAAATTCACCAAAATAATTTGCTTATCTCTACTAATTTAAGAGATGAAGCTTCAGCAAACTCATTCATGAAAGACTAGATATTAGCAACGTAATTTTACTACAAAATTCATACGAGACTACGTAATGTTATAGCAACGGAATTTTGTGGTTCTATGGGAGTACGATTCAATCTTTCTCAAGAATATCATATAGATTTTTTTCTACTCCGATCTTGCTGATTACATGTTATCGCAATTGACGTGTATTAGAGGGATTGTCAAGAGAACCGGCTCAGGTATGTTAAAGCTATCCCTTTCTTCTTTTTGGCATGATTCATACGACACAAACGAAATGAGCAAATGCACAACTTCCAGCAAATGCACAACTGCAGTAAACACAAAAGCCATAGCGGTTGGATGCCTCATGGTCCTGTAAAGACCCGGCCGATCATTTTGAATATTATAACCCTGTTCCTCCATTTACTGCACAATTTATATCTTGCAATTGATTTATGACTTATCGGGTTAGTTGGTTCGGGTCCGGATGAAACTCAGAGTGAAATGAGACACTCAGTCTCATAATTAAAAAATTAAGTTAGAAAAGTGGACCGGATATGGACCTATGTGTAAACGACCTCGGATTCGAATTTTAATAATTCCAAAAGCTCTGTATGGTGATTTTGGGTTTAGGAGCATGTCCAAAATATTATTTGGAGGTCCGTAGAGGAATTAGGCTTGAAATGCCGAAAGTTTAATTTTTGAGAAGTTTGACCGGGGGTTGACTTTTTAATATCGGGGTCAAAATCTGATTCTGAAAATTTGAATACCTCTGTTATATCATTTATAACTTTTGTGCAAAATCTGAGGTCAATCGGACGTGATTTGATAGGTTCCGAAGTCGTTTGTAGAAATTAGAAATTTCAAAGTTCATTAGGCTTGAATTGGGGTGTAATTCATGATTTTAGCGTTGTTTGAGGTGATTTGAGGGTTAGACTAAGTCCGTATGATATTTCAGGACTTGTTGGTATATTTGATCGAGGTCCCGAGGGGCTCGGGTGAGTTTTGGATGGTTAACGGATCAAAAATTTGGACTTGAATAGCTGCTGGAATTTTCTGATATCTGATAATGTTTTCCTTCTACGCGATCGCGTGAATTTGTTTGCGATCGCGTAGATTTATTTGGTCAGTGGGGGTTTTTGTTCCACACGATCGCGTGGGGATATCTGCGATCACATAGGGTTAATGTGAGGCAGCGGCATTTTGTGCTTCACGATTGCATGAAGCGGGATGCGATCGCGTGAAGCAGGATGCGATCGCGTAGCTCTGGAATTTTGTGACTCGCGAACGTGTGACGAAGGTCGTGTTCGCGTAGAGTAAGTGGAGCGGAGTAGAAGTCACGCGTTTTGTGCTTCGCGATCATGTGGACTAGTCCGCAATCGCGTATGTCTGTGATGTTGTGCATCGCGATCGCGTGGGAAAGTCCGCGATCGCGTAGAGTAAAATCTGGACGATGGAAAATTATTCTTCGCGATAGCGTGGGAATGTTTGCGATCGCGTAGAGCAAATGTCTGGGCAGAGAGTTTAAGTTCTGAATTCGTCCCATTTTCAATTTTTGATGATTTGGAGCTCGGATTTAGGCGAGTTTTGGGTGATTTTCAGAGGAAATAACTGGGTAAGTGTTCTTAACTCACTATTGGTTAAATTATCCGAATCTATGGTTGTTTTTATCATTTAATTGGTGAATTGAGTTGGAAAAATTTGAAAACCCTCTTGGTTTAAATTGAAGATTTGAGGGTCGGGTTGGGGTTGGATTTTGGTAAAATTGGTATGGTTAGACTCGTGGTTGAATGGATTTTCGGATTTTATAAATTTTGTCGAGTTCCGAGACATGGGCCCCACGGGCGATTTTTGAGCTAATTTTTGGATATTTATGGAAAATCATTATTTTCTTATGGAATTAATTCCAATGAATTTTATTGGCTGAAATGAATTATTTATGACCAGATTTGAGGCGTTTGGAGACCAATTCACGAGGAAAGGGCATTGCAGAATAAGAATTTCACGGCTTGAAGTAAGTAACAGTTTTAAATCTGGTCCTGAGGGTATAAAACCCCGGATTTTGTATCATGTGATTATTTTAAAGGTGACGCACATGCTAGGTGATGGGCGTGTGGGCGTGCACCGAGGAAATTGTGACTTGGTCCGTCCCGGGAAACTGTAAAGTCGAATAATTTGTTGTTAGCTATATGCTCTCTATGTGTTAATAAAATTTGACTGTAAATCATGTTAGAAATCATGCTTAGGCTATGTGATAGTACTGTTGGGACCCACAGAGGTCGCGTAATTGTCAAATTATCTGCTTAAATTGTTGTCTTTTACTCGGTCACAGTTTACTTGATTAATTTGTCTCAGTCTCTATTGTTCATTATTGATGTGTCATATCATTGTTGTTTAGGCTGATTTCATGATTATTGAGAGCCCGAGAGACTTGAGAGATTTATGACTGCGTGAGGCCGAGGGCCTGATTGTGAGATATTGATACTATAGCATGTGAGTTGTCCATGCAACACGTGAGTTGGTCGTGCGGATCCTTATATTATACTATAGCATGTGAGTTGGCCGTGCGGATCCTTATATTATACTATAGCACGTGAGTTGGCCGTGCAGCACGTGAGTTGGCCGTGCAGATTCAGATATTTATATTATGGCACGTGAGTTGTCCGTGCAGCACGTGAGTTGTCCGTGCAAATTATAGCGTTTGGGCTGTAGGAGCCCCTCTGAAGTCTGTACACCTCTAGTGAGCGCGGGTACCCATTGAGAGAGTGATGGGGGCTGGGAGCCCAGGGAGTGATGAGGGCTGGGAGCCCAGTGAGTGATTGTTGTTCTAAGAGGTTGTACTTGATTTTCATTTGTTGTTGCACTTGGTTGCTATCTGTCATTATTGTGAAATCTCTGAAAGATTGTTGATATATGGATTACATGAACATGAACTGCATAAAAATTGATTTGACATTAATCTGGCAGATTTGATAGCATGTCTATTCTTTGCTAGAATTACTCGAAATGAACCATAACTCTGTAGCTCGTTATTATCCTTAGTTCCTTATTTATTATTGTTACTTGCTGAGTTGGTTGTACTCATACTATACCCTGCACTTCGTGTGCAGATCCATGTGTTCCCGGACATAGCGGGTGTTGATCCTTTTGAGTGGTTGATTTTCAGGAGATTTTGAGGTAGCGCCGTATTCCGCAAACCTTGTCTCTCCTTCTCTATCTCTTTGTTCACTGTATTTGGTCTCTGACTATTATAGACTATATTTTCCAGACTTGTATTTATATTAGATGCTCATGTACTCAGTGACACCAGGTTTTAGGGGGGGTGTTTGTATTGTATTTAAATATTATATTTTCAAACTTGAGAGAAATTGTGGTTTATTGAGATTTTCGGCTTGCCTAGTATTGAGATAGGCGCCATCACGACGGGTGCATTTTTGGGTCATGACAAGTTTGTATCAGAGCCTAGGTTACATAAGTCTCACGAGTCATGAGCAGGTTTAGTAGAGTCTTGCAGATCGGTACGGAGACATCTGTACTTATCTTTGAGAGGCTGCAGAACCCTTAGGAAAATTTCACTTTCTTGTATTCTGTCGTGCAAATTTGTTGATTTAGGAAACTAAATTTTTGCTATTCTATTCTCTCGCAGATAGTGAGTACACGTACTACCGGATCGGACGGTCAGCCACCGGTGCTACCAGTTAGGGCCGCGAGAGGCCGGGGCCGTGGTAGAGGTCGGGGCCGAGGTAGAGGTCGAGGTGTAGCTCGTACCATAATTGGAACAGCACCTGTAGTACCACCAATTATTCCACCTCAGGAGCAGATTCCAAATATAGTTGAGCCGACAGGATCAGCTCAGGCACCAGCTGTGCCCATTGAGATTGCAGGCATTCAGGAGACTTTAGCCCAGATATTGGAAGCCTGCACTGGTCTTGCTCAGGTGGTTTCAGCTCAGGCTGCACCTGCCACTTCTCAAACTGGGGGAGGTACTCATACCCCCATTGCCCGTACTCCAGACCAGGTAGTACAGGGACTTCAGATACCGGGGGCACTACCAGCCCAGCCGGTTGTAACTACTCAGGCCCCGGTAGTTCCTGTTATGGCAGATGATGAGGAGAGGAGACTTGAGAGATTTGAGAGGCTTCGACCTCCACCATTTAGCGGTACTGAGTCAGAGGATGCTCAAGATTTTCTGGATAGGTGTCAACAAATGCTTCGAACAACGGGTATTCTGGAGACCAGTGGTGTCTCATTTACTACTTTTCAGTTTTCTGGGTCTGCAATCAGTTGGTAGGAGACTTACGAGAGACGTAGGCCTATTGGCGCAGCACCCCTTACTTGGCATCAGTTCTCCGTGGTCTTTTTGGAGAAGTGCGTACCTCAGTCCCGCAGAGAAGAGCTGCGCAGACAGTTTAAGCAGCTTCGCCAGGGTAATATGTCCTTGACGCGGTAGGAGATAAGATTTTCTGAGTTGGCTCATCACACAGTCTGGTTGGTTCCCACTGATAGGGAGAGGAGTAGGAGGTTCATTGATGGCCTCACATATCAGCTGCGGTTACTTATGACTAGGGAGAGAGCATCTGGTGCTACTTTTGATGAGGTAGTGGACATTGCTCGGTAGATAGAGATGGTTCGTAGCCAGGAACGTGGAGAGAGAGAGAGAGGCTAAGAGGCCTCGTGGTCCAGGTGATTACGGCGGTGTTCCTTCAGGGGGTCAGTTTCACCATGGTAGGGGTCATTCTTACAGACACGCTCAGACGGGTCGTCCAGCTCATCGTGGTGCATCAGC